TATTTAGGATAAACGAATGTAGTTTCATGTTACAATTTGAAGTCATTCTAGAAAGAAAAAAGGGTAATTTAGATTTGAATTCTTTTTTGGTGGTTACAAGGTTGGTCAATTTGTATTTAGGTTTTATAGATTATACAAATGAAATCTGAGATTTTTGAGATGAAGAAAAGTATTTTTAATCTTAACATAAAATCACTTTGCACATGGACCATTGAAAACAGATATTTGATACATTCATGGACAAATCTTTTTTTAGTTTATTTAAAGTACTTTACTAAAAAATATGACTTTTTGTATGTGAAAGACTTACAATGTTTACAGAAAGACTGCCAAATTTTGTGAAGATATATATAATATATTAAAAGTTAGTAGTACCAAAGTGGTAAAGTGGTTGGTCAAATTGACAGAGCCCATGTTGAGCAAGTTAACCCTTTGACTACGACCTACTTACATTGTAATTAGGTATGCAACTATTTTAAATTTGAAATGAAAGTTCCTATAAGTATGTAGTTTTTGAAAAATAAGATATTTAATTTAGATTTTTTTCTAAAGCAATGTTTTCTCATGCCTTTTTTTCTTTTTGTATGTTGCCTATCCAACATGTAAAATAATTTTTATTTTAAGATTAAAAATACTTTTATGCATCAGAAAATTTTCAAATTTCACATGTGAATTCCTTATAATAACCAGATAGTTATTAAATGCTTCTTAAGAAAAAAACTTTATATTTTGGCTGTTATTTTCATTAACAAATTCAGTCAATTTGACCAATCTCTTAACCACCACAAAAAAATTAGGAAATAAATATAAATTATGCCTTTTTCATTTTAGAATAACTACATATTATAATGCAAAAACATATATGTTTAGACTAAATAGCTTAAATCTCGTAACATTTATATATATTTATTATTTTAATTATTTTGACCTTTCAGCCATGCTTAGCTAACAATACAGAAGTTAGAATTATTCGGCACATATGCACTCATGTTACCATATCCAATAATACAAAACTGACCTGCCTTGGTTATGTTTTAGTGGAATAGTATTTTGTAAAATACAGTCACATTTCAGTTATTAAACATTATATATGTGTATAGATTATTACTATCTACAAATAACTTCATAAACCCATTTTTCTTAAACAATAGAACAGTAAATAAAGAAGTAAAGCAAACAATTATCTCTTCTAGTTCCAACCTTTGTATTCAGTTGCTGCTTGGCGTAGCTCGATAAGCCTTAAGAAATTTCACACATGGAGGATGTGAAACGAAATAATTTTTTTAAGATTATATATATATATATATATATACACATTTGAATAACCATAAATTACTATATCGACACAATAAAATTCAACTTTAATTTATGAAGCTTAGTAACTAAGCTGTACTTAGGTCTAAAAAAATATTAAATTTAGAGCAGACTAAAGACACAACCTACCTCCTTGAAATCTTGGTTCGAAAGTATGAGATGGTATCCTAACATTTTAAAATGGTTGAGAAAGCCACTAGGGGAACATTCTGAGCTTTCGATTATTTATATATATTTGTCATGTATAGAACTACGTATATATGGGACCGTTTCCAAAAATGGTAAGAGGTGAGTAGGGCCACTGCATTTCAATCAGCACATGAGCAATATCTCAGCAAATAGAAAAGATAGGAGGTTCTTATTTTATATTCTAGTTTCTCAATATCAGTAACTTGAGTGCCTAATTCATACAAAACTATAGCATTTGTATTCTTACATCACAAACATGTAATTTGAACCAGTGCTGCATTCAACATACCCCCACATGACACACAAAAATTGATGTTTAAGTTTTTTTTATATTTACTTTTAAGTTAAGAAATTAAATAATAATATATAGTATTAAAATTTGAATTATAATCTACAATTTGATACCAAATTTATTAACAAATTCATAAAATATTAGTTCAATAAAATTTCAAATGCGAGTCAACAAACGTGATGACATGTCCTTTGACCTGTGTGGATTAAAGGAATGTAAATGATTATATAGCATATGTCTTGACCAAACTTCCACCCTTACTTCTGAAGATAATGACATCAGAGTACCGAGACATGTTGAGTCCTTTTAGGGCTGGTCCTCGTGTCAACAAATTATTTATTGCATAATTATTTTAGTGTTGTACTCATTTAACTGTATATATTGCACAAGTGTCATCTATAATTATTTAAGGTTGTATTAAGAATCGTGTCATTTGGTTAAGTATATTAGCTGTGAAAAGGAAAATCAGCAGGTTCAATAACACTCCTTTGGCCTAGAAAGGGTTAAATAAGATACAAAAAATTTCTGCTGTTAACTGAAACTTTAAATAAGCCAAAAATAGTATTTATGTTGTTTGTCAATCAATTAATTTGCACTATAACTAACTGATTTATAAGTTACCTTGGAACATTTTATAATAGTATATAAAAAAAAGAAGTGACGATGAAAACAATGTTGAAATAACTTATTAGATATTATAAATAGACAAACATAATTCATATGTAATGTACGATACGCAAGGCATAAGTAATCCAACATGATACTGAACAGAGAATGATCCAAATGAAAGGAACTCACGCATGAATTTTCCCATTATAAAACTGAGTGTCCATAATCACGACCAAGTGGGCAGCAAGTGAAAGGCCCCAACAAAGGTTTCTGGATACAACAGCAACTTGAATGGCACCACTGTAAAACAACTGTTCCACTATTTTGCGATCTGCCAAGCTCAGTCCTTCATGCAGGTAAGCCACTCCATTACCTAATGTTTCTTTTAAAGTCTGCAAGGAAAAATGTAATAAAAAATTAACATTATATTTTACAGCTAAATATTCTTCAGAATCACTTGAAACAATCTTCTGATGCTTGTATGATTTAATAAATGGAAATTTAAAAATTCAAGTAGTTACAATATTTCAGTACATTGCAAATGGTATAACATGAACAAATGTGAGATTAATTCACTAAGTTAAAAAAAAATTGTTATTTAAAGTTAAACATATACATTCAAATATTTCTTATTCATTATATCAACAAAACAGACAAATGGTATTAAAGGCAAATTCATTTCACAGTTTTTGATTTTATTTTATACTTTGTACTTAAAAGCATTTTCATATATTAAACAAACAGCATTACCTTATCAGAAACTTTTTCCACAAAAGGTTCGAGGTCAGAATCTGTGCAGTGCAAGAAACGAGATGGCTGGCCTTCTGAGGCGCAGTAAGTAAGGATATCAATGGCAGTGAGTCGTGTCTGCTTGCGAGAAGGTACAAACACGATAACAGGTTTACGAGGAGAATATCGTAAGATGGCCTGATATATGGGCTTGCTCATAGCCAACAAACGAGAGGCATTATGGGTAATGTTAAAACCCTGTAGAACAAAAAAGGACAAAAAGTTAATGAAACTTTACCTCTCTATTCAAATAACATGATGTAATCAACAGAGTATAAAAAAAAACTATATATAAATGAAACTCATTCTGTACTTAAGCTAGTTATCAAGTTAATCAAACCTGACTCAATTACACAAATTATAATGGCATGATATGGATAAAACAGTAACATTGTATAAGTTAAGTGTATTAAAGACAACTCGGTTAATATTTTTTGTATGAGAGAGCCATTAAAACTCTCAATTGCAAAACAATATAAAATAAGCAGTGAAATTTGTTCTCTAAGATAATTTGAAGTTGCTAATAGTACTGGAGTACATAGAATAACCATATGTTAAAAGTGCAATACAAATAAGTTCAGAAAGAATAACCTAGTCCAAAAGGAGAAATGTACTAATACAGACTTGAATATGCAATTCCAAAGGCACAGGTCGAACGTTCGGGTGAAAATTGAATGAGGAATTGGTGCCAGCACCTAGCCACTGTGCGACATCTTTGGCATTAGCTAAAGATGAGCTTAGAGCAACAATACGGATCTGACGTTCAATCTGTGAGGAGATGTATCTCATTCGGGAACAAATCACTTCAATAATTGGCTGTCAAAATAAAGAAATATATTCAGAACAACAATTTCTATTCAAATTTTTCCATCTAGACAGTATTTAACACAGTTTTCGAATTATTACTAAGTGTGTTTGTTATCAAATATACATTACTATTTAATTCATTTCCTAGAGTATTAGCGTAAATATAAAAATGTGTTATGTGCCATAAAACATTTACAGTTTCAAATGAAATAATTTCTGACATCCTGTGAATAGAAACAAAGGAAACTTAATGAAACAAAGAAAAACATTCATGCAATGAGAATTTAAATGGTCAAATTTCACCAATTGTTCTTTGAGAAAAATCTTAAAGTTTGACCAATCAGAGAGGATGATATCTAATACATTAGCTACACACACACAAAAAAAAAAACTCAAGGAAAACAACATCAATATTACAATTAATCTTACTAATTACTGTTTGTCCCTTTACAGGCTCCATAACAACATAGTAGTCAAGAAAAACACCACCAATATTGCAACTAATACTGAAGTTTATGTATTTTACATAGAAAATCTATGTTGGTAAGTTCTTTGCACTCAGTCTTGTAATAGGAATAAATGCAAACTGTGAAACACCTATGCCACCCACTAATGTTATGTTCTATGTTTAAGTGCTCCTAACTTAAATAGCCTTGACCTATCACCTTCAAAAGTTAAGCAGTTTTAGAACTTTACATGTAGTAGCTGTTGTATTAATTTGGTCAAAATCCATTCACAAGATCAGAACAGACAAACTAATATGCCCCACTATGCTCTGTTTAGCAGTGGGGAAATAAAAAACATAAAATTACTCAATATGATGCAAATATTTGGACCTGACAGATATGGAAGGATATAAAAACAAATCAACAATTTGAGTTAATTTAAAGAAATATGTCATGTGATAATCACCAAAAACAAAAAAGAACAAAGCAACCAAGATAAACATTAATTCATGAAAAGTAAATATTTCTAAAAATTTTTATTATTCTTTTAGTAAACATAATTAGACCAAAAGAAAAAAACAAAACTGATAAATTTTCTTATCTTTACATATGTACAAACACGTTAATGCAAAATTGATACATACACCATCAGCTCCCCCTAGCAGCTGAAGTTCGTCCATAATAAACAAGTTGACATTCTGCACATTTTTCCTCTGTTTCCATCGTCGTGACAATACATCCCATTTTTCTGGTGTTCCAATAATAACATTACCCTGAAAACACAAATTAAACCTTTCTATACTGGCAGGGTATTAATGATATTTCCAGGTCTTTTACATTTTGATATTGAAATGTTTAATTAAACTTCATATAAGCATTCAGAATTTACCTAGTTTTTGCAAAAAGAATATTAAATTACTTTTTCTTTACATTATACCAATGAGTATAGCCAAAAATTATAGCTTATAATTCATATTTTAATAGTATATGTAATTTTAAGTTCTTGATTTTATAAGGAAATATTAATAAATCCTGAAATTTCCCTAGTGTGAGAAATGTGACATTTTTTCTCTAGGCAGCCCCTCTTCTGTAATTTATTCACCATCCCTTCAATAAGTACGAAATTAAACATAAATTACTCCCTACCAAAAAGTCATCCTTAATACAAAATTTTTATACCCTTCAGTCTTGTTTGGTTAGAGCCAGCAAATAGAAAATCAGATCCCTCTTGCCACACCCACCTGTCACATTCTCTCTTTCAGGATTTGTTAATAGTTCTCTCTCTTACATTTAATATTAAATTATTTATAACCAATAGAAAGTCAAGGTTTTCATCTATCAACTGATGTATTATATTGCCTTGTTTTCTGAACAAAAAACTGTTATCTCTCAGTTAGTACAAGCTTCATTCCCACAGGAATGATATCGACTAGCTTGGATGAATTTGTAACAGCTCTTGTTGCATAGTTAGAAAGCCAGACAAATTGTGATAATTATGGGACATTGTCTGCTTTTTGCATGTTATTATTCTATGTTCTTTGGTACATTATTTAATTAAACAAAAATTATTTAGTCTATTAGTACAAAAAAGTAGGGTTAAGCGTGAATGACAGTCAACATCAAGAAGACGACGACCCTGGTAAGTACTTTATTTCTTGTTTTTCATGTTTATTCTTTATTTATTGTTATAAAAGTAACTATGTAAAAGTAGGAATCTCTTTTGGTTAGTTAAAGTTAGATTAGGTAAAATTAATAATAACATAATAAAAATGGTTTTACCCTTATCTATGTTATGCATCATAGCATGAGTTTTCCCAATAATATTTGTTATTAAGATCAATTTATATTTAATAGTTATAATTTCTTTTTAATAACAAGTTATGTTATTTTTATGTTATTTAAATACATTAAATATAACAGTATGTCCAATAAAAAAGGATTTGTGTCACCGTACTTGCTAAACCAAACTTACATGATGTTAGCCAATAGAAATCTCCTGTAGCTTTCAGAGATAATTTAATAGAAACAATAATCAGAAGTGAAAAATATGTTAAAAGAAAGTATACAGAGTGTGGATGGTGAGCTGTTCAACAAACTTCACTGCACAAAAATGTTGCAATTACTCACAAATCCATATTATTTGCTTTTCAAGGAATTGAGAACGTTTTATTTATTTTTTTCTTGAAAGTTTATGTAGTCTAGTTGCTGATTTCATTACTTCCAATAGAAACTTGTTGAATGGTATCAATACAGCTTTTATTACTAAATCTTTGACATACTACCAAACAACCACAAAAACAAGACAAGACTCACTCACTTTAGCCAATAATTTTAAGTCGGTACTGGTTTCTCCTGTCAATAAAACAACCTTTTTACTAAGCTGTACACTAAACTTATTGATCCAATCAGCATAAACTTGTTCTGCCAGTGATTCCTTGGGTGTAATGTAAACACATCGCCCTTCAGGATTATTTGAAAAAAGCCTCAAAATAGCAAACTCTGCACAGATTGTCTTTCCACTTCCAGTAGGTGCTCCAATGAACACATTGTCTTCACTGTTATAAACAGCATTAAATACTGAAATAAAATTTTATAGCAAATGAGGATCCTATTAGCCTCTACTATACATCTTTTATTTGTTTTAGTTTTTAGCTTTTTTCAGTGTGCTTATTTTTTATTTTGAATAAACAGAGTACAAAGTTTATTTTGATGCCATAATACTACATAAAAAAAACGAAACACATTTCAAGGTTGCCCGTTATGATAGATTATTACGTATAAAAAAACAACTTTATTTACAAGTCTTCCATTACCAACCAATACTAACGAGAGACCAATAAAAAGACACATATCTTTTAACACAAGAAGTTGAATGTTTTTAATGAGGTATCAGATTCATAAATATTTGTAGATTTGTATGCTATGAATTTCAGTATAGTCATAATTCTACTGTAGCCTAAGTTAAGGATCTTGAATTTAATTTATTGTCTAACATTGATTTGTTATAGGAAAAATTGAAATTTCATTTCTTCAACTTGTATTTGAATTGGATTAAGGAAGGGAAATTTTTCATTATAAAAGTTTCAAAAGTTAAGACTCCTCAATAGAAATTCCCGAAACTTCATTTCCTAAACTTGTATTTCAATTGGGTTAATGAAGGAGAATTTTTCACAACAAATTTTCAAAATGTATATTCCCCAATAGAAATTTATTTTTCTCACCTTGTGTTTGAATTGGATTAAAGAAAGGGAACTTTTCACTATAAAGAGTTTCAAAAGTTAGATTCCTTAGTGCTGAAACTGGGAGGGGCTGTAAATCAAGAAGCTCCGTTGGGGGAGGGTACTTTTCAGGAAGAATCAAGTGTCGAAAGGAGACAGGAAGTTGAGTCTCAGATCCTTGAATAAAAAAATATATATATATTCTTTGTAACTGATAATCTTTTACAATTTGCAAAAAAAATAAGGTCAAACAAACACTTAACGTATTTCCCCATATATGAATTAGTGATAAATATACATTTCCTATAAAAATCAGCATCATTCTGGGAGCTTTATGTTTTACAAACACTTTATAAATACCACAAATGAGGGAGGCAACAACAAAATCTCCATCATCAAATCATTGTTCAGTTATCTCCTGAATTCATTAAATTTGCTTTATGTTCAATTGATAATTGAAACTGTTGATACTTGTTGAAACTCCACTATCACAGAATTGAGAAAAAAACAGACAACTGTACATTTTACAAAAACTTCACTTATTAATGACCATGATATTGTCAGTAAAGCCATCATCAGATGCCTTTACTGGTGAAACCACATTAATACATGAAGCTTGTACAATTGGCTTTGTTCTTTTCCTCAATTATATTTAATTGTTATTACTTCTGAAGAGAACATCTATTAACACAATGTATCTGTTTTTGCAACATTTTAGGACATAATGTTAGGAAATTGTACAGAGAAAATTAAACTAAATTAAAACTTAGCTCAATACATAACTATGCATCCAAAAACAGTAAAAAACATTTATCCAAGTTATAGCAACTTATGACAGGAAAGCAGGAACCATGATCATGTTCCAAAGTAGGGCTAACTCATTAAAAAAAAATATCCAATTTCTGCACAGTACAGTAACCCAATCCAGAACAACGAGTCTTGGATTTGTCCCATAGCATGATAATTCATAACAGAAAAAACTGATTTTGGACTTCTCCCACAGTGTGGTTGACCATCAGGGGATTATGAAACAAGTAATTATTAATATTTAGGATCCTATATGCATCATCTTAAATACATCTTGCGCTCTTGAAAAATGAAATTTATTCAACTTTCTCTCATAAAAAATACTCAGTATCTTAAAAAAAACTTTCAAATATTGATACATTTTCATCACTGACTTGTTCATAAGTAAAAGTATATTTAATACCAATCAAACTAACTGATATTTGTTTATAGTTAACATACAAAAAAGTTAAAATCAATAAATTACCCATAGTAACAAAAAAGAAGAAAAAAAAAAAATTACAAATCACAAAATATTTACTTACCAATCCATCTATCTGAAACTATTCTGATGAAATACTGGGGTGGTAGTGGTTCAAATACTGGTACAAAAAACTTTACTACATGTTCATCTTCCGCAAATTTGCTGTAAATTATAAGAAAATGTATCCATTTGTACATTGCATAACTTGTAAGTTTGTAAGAAGTAACAAAAGTATCTTCATTCTCTATATGTATAAAAATTTGCTGCCCAATGAAAATTTCTGTTACATTTTTTTTCTTATTTCAAAATTATCAAAAACTTCTTTACAAATGAAAATAAAACATTCAAATACATTTACATTAGTCATTTTTTAAATATGAAAGAACACAGAAGTTAAAGTCCTATCATGTGACCCACTACGTTTATTTAATGTAGGAAAATCCTATTGAAAAGATCGTAGATATTAGTCCTAACGTCACCCACTATGTTTATTTAATGTTGGAAAAGCCTATTTAAAAGATCGTAGATGTTAGTTCTAGCATGTGATACATAATGTTTATTTAATGTAGGAAAAGCCTATTTAAAAGATTGTATATGTTAGTCCTAAAAAGTGACCCACAATGTTTATTTAATGCAGGAAAAGCCTTTACACACATTATTCTTCAGAATGTTAATACAATTTTGTCAGTACAATAAAATGTCCAAAACATTTACAGCAGTGTATCTTACACAACATTTTTGACTACAAACCTAAAATAATCTACAGAGTTTGACTGAAGACGATAGGGCAGCAAAATAATATATATATATATATATATATAAGTTGTGTATCTGTTTAGAATAACTAGTATATACAATAAAGAGTGGCCAACACAAAATATATTTATATATATAACACTTGAGATATAAGGAATATTAAATAATGTATTTCTCATGACCAGTTTCTTTTAGATATCAAATTTATAAAAGGTTAAGAACTCTTACATTTCATGATCAAGGATAACACATCTGGATGAGCAATCTATAAATATAAAGCCTACCTCTTCAACAGAAAATACTCATGATGAAGAATGACTTCACTGTCTACATCCTCAACCAGGATCCAGAAAGCCTATAGAAAACACAACAAACATTACACTTCTGAAGGTTCACTAATATTTACCTTTTCAATTAAGTAAAGCTGAATAATGCATTTTATTTTACATTTAAATAATTAAAGCAACCAAGAAACAAAATCAAATGATGCAAATACCAGTATGATAATGATTTGATCTTTAGTTTGATATGTTATCCATTCAAAAAAAAAACTATATAAAAATGCTGGTGAGCCTCGAATGTAGAAAAATACTATTGAAACAATAATGTAATGAATGTGAAAAAGAGAATGGCACAAACTTCTTGTTACAGTTACTATCTTCCACCTGGATTAACAAGGGGGAATAACCTACATACTACTGAATATGGTAGCTGTGTGTGTGTGTGTGTGTCTCTCTCTCTCTCTCTCTCTATATATATATATATATATATACACACACACACACACACACACATAATATATATATATTTATATATATATGAACTATCAATTCCAGAATATTTTCAACATGTTACTGTAAACTAACAGACAAACCTGTATATCAGTAGGCTTTGAAGTTAACAAGAATAACATTTTAAATACTCAAGTGTGAAATTAAACCAGTAACATGTATTATAGAGTTAAAGTATCTTAAAGAGAAGAAATAAAAATAAAATATTTTTATGAAGTTCAATAATTAGCATTGTTTGTAAACTTAATATGTATACCACTTAAAGGTTTACCAGAAAATAAATACAAAATATACATAACTTCAAAACACGTGAAACGCCAATTTCAAATACTTCGTGAAGGGAATAAAACAATGGTTTGAAGAAGTACTGAACTGATTAATTCACTGTACATAAAGCAGGTTTGTGTCTCAATTACACATAGGAGCACATAAAATAAGTATCAATAAAATCATAAAACAAATATTTCACCAAATTAAACAAAATTCAGTCTGTGATGATTATAATAATTCGACATTTTAGAAAATAAATTATAACTTAATAGTTTTGTTTATTATTATTATTATTTAGAAATGTAAAACAAAAATACCTCAGATGTTCCATGAACTTTTTCATCCCATTGGAAGTCTGGAGTGATGGTCAGTTCGACTCGAAGGGTAGAACGGGTAATAGGCTGAATGTGTGCTGATAGCTCCAGCTTGGGAAACTGATGAAGGTACTTATGAACAGTCTTTCCCAGCTTGGGCATTCTCAGAAGCTCCCCTATTTCGTTAGGACCAAGATCGTAAAGTCGCTCCCAAGGAAAGTTCTTCTTCTCAATTTTTTTCACAACCTCTTCTGGGATTTTTTTGAACTGTCTCAGTGGAGACATAGACTGCCACCTGAAAATACACTACATGTTGAAACAAAGAAAAAAATATATCTAATGACATTTCAACTGTGTTTGGGTCATAAGGTTGGTTGGACTACATCAAAGAAACACTCTGGTAAATATATTTGTAATGCTTCTTTCCCCACTCATAGTTTAGGTTAAATTCCATGGAATATAAAATTAAATACTTTCAATTATTAACTACTTACATTCTTTTGTCAATCATCTTGCAAAGAGACATTGCTTTGTCTGTTAGCTGGGCCCAGCCTCGGTGTAGAACAATTTCAAATATAGCTCTCATTAGTCTAGCTGCACTCTGTGTTACATACACCATGTCTGCCATCAATGCCAAGCCTTCCAGCTTTAACTGAGATATGTAAGCTTGAAGTAGGACGTTGACCTTGGCACTTGTTTCTTCAATGCTTTCCTTGATGGGGATGGGAACTCGTTCCATCAGTTTCTGAAGCTCTAGTTTCTCTTCCTAGAAGTAAAAACCCTTCAATATCAGAAGCATGTTATATTTACTCTAAGTTTATCTTAAAGAACATTTTGGTTTTTAGAAAATATGAAATTATAATCAATGTTGTCGTTCCTTGATTTGTACATTTAAAACAATGTTGGTAAACAGTTAAACGAGTGATCTGTATGTTTACAACAACGTTTGTAAATACAGTTAAAAGAGTGGTTTGTACACTTACAACAATGTTTGTAAACACAGTTAAAAGTGATTTGTACATTTACAACAATGTTGATAAACACAGTAAAAAGTGATTTGTATGTTTACAACAATGTTGATAAACACAGTAAAAAGAGTGATTTGTATGTTTACAGCAATGTTGATAAACACAGTAAAAAGAGTGATTTGTATGTTTACAGCAATGTTGATAAACACAGTAAAAAGAGTGATTTGTATGTTTACAACAATGTTGATAAACACAGTAAAAAGAGTGATTTGTATGTTTACAACAATGTTGATAAACACAGTAAAAAGAGTGATCTGTATGTTTACAACAACGTTGATAAACACAGTAAAAAGAGTGATCTGTATGTTTACAACAATGTTGATAAACACAGTAAAAAGAGTGATCTGTATGTTTACAACAACGTTGATAAACACAGTAAAAAGAGTGATCTGTATGTTTACAACAACATTGTTAAACAGTTAAGAGAGTGATCTGTATGTTTACAACAACATTGTTAAACAGTTAAGAGAGTGATCTGTATGTTTACAACATTGGTAAACACAGTAAAAAGAGTGGTTTGTATGTTTACAACAATGTTGGTAAACACAGTAAAAAGATTGGTCTGTATGTTTACAACAATGTTGGTAAACACAGTAAAAAGATTGGTCTGTATGTTTACAACAATGTTGGTAAACACAGTAAAAAGATTGGTCTGTATGTTTACAACAATGTTGGTAAACACAGTAAAAAGATTGGTCTGTATGTTTACAACAATGTTGGTAAACACAGTAAAAAGATTGGTCTGTATGTTTACAACAATGTTGGTAAACACAGTAAAAAGAGTGATTTGTATGTTTACAACAATGTTGGTAAACACAGTAAAAAGAGTGATTTGTATGTCTACAACAATGTTGGTAAACACAGTAAAAAGAGTGGTTTGTATGTCTACAACAATGTTGGTAAATACAGTAAAAAGAGTGGTTTGTATGTTTACAACAATGTTGGTAAACACAGTTAAAAGAGTGATTTGTATGTTTACAACAATGTTGGTAAACACAGTTAAAAGAGTGATTTGTATGTTTACAACAATGTTGGTAAACACAGTTAAAAGAGTGAATTTGTATGTTTACAACAATGTTGTTAAACACAGTTAAAAGAGTGGTTTGTATGTTTACAACAATGTTGGTAAACACAGTAAAAAGAGTGATTTGTATGTTTACAACAATGCTGGTAAACACAGTAAAAAGAGTGATTTGTATGTTTACAACAATGCTGGTAAACACAGTAAAAAGAGTGATTTGTATGTTTACAACAATGCTGGTAAACACAGTAAAAAGAGTGGTTTGTATGTTTACAACAATGCTGGTAAACACAGTAAAAAGAGTGGTTTGTATGTCTACAACAATGCTGGTAAACATAGTAAAAAGAGTGATCTGCATGTTTACAACAATGTTGTTAAACACAGTTAAAAGAGTGGTTTGTATGTTTACAACAATGTTGGTAAACACAGTAAAAAGAGTGATTTGTATGCTTACAACAATGTTGGTAAACACAGTAAAAAGAGTGGTTTGTATGTTTGCAACAATACTGGTAAACACAGTAAAAAGAGTGATTTGTATGTCTACAACAATGCTGGTAAACACAGTTAAAAAAGATGCTTACTTCTCTGATATTGATATTCTTGAACTCTGATGACAATGAGAAAACTCTGAACAGCTCAATCTCACTTAATGTTGGTTTAAGTAGAGTGTTGTAGGTGGACATGGTTTCATGAGTACAGTAGTAGTGGCTAGCAATACGTCCTAACTCGGTGACCTGGAAAGTACATAAAAAACTTAGCAGTGGTATTCCTCTCTTCAAGAAAATCTGATTTGATGAAATATGACTTTACTCAAACTATACATATGTTAAATAAGTTAAATGAAGAAGTATGTAAGAACTACAGTACATTATTAAAATCTGTAAATTTGTACAAAGTACTGCTAACACGAATTCAAGGAATATTTACTGTGATCGACTAAGAAAAAAATAATTATTAACTTTCATCTTCAGCTCTTTCTTAACCCTATTTCTTAAGTACCAGTAAGAGAATGCTTTAATACAAAGATCTTGTCTGCACTTCCCAACACAATTTCCTCCTTAAGAAAGGAAAAAATAAAATAAAATCTATGATCACATTATTATGACTTGAAAAATGATAAAAAAGGCAACCTGAAAATTTCCAGTTTTCTTGTCAAATTTGATAGAATTGTTCTTGTCTAGAATACAGGCTGCAGAAAAAATCAGGTCAGCTCTGTGCTGTTCTAGCAGAGGGTCCGACTTTAATTCATCATGAGAAATACTATACAGGGTCGGGGCTCTTAACATCCTAATATACAGGTAGGTGTAGCCCAGCCACAAAGAAGCTTCTTTAATGTTCTGGACATTACCAAGAACTATTTCTGCATTAAGCATGTCTGGGAGTTTGCTGACCAGCTGGCTCTCTATCGGCAGCTGCAATATTAAATTAACTATACTTCAAGTACATATTCAAATATTACACAAACCAGCAAAGTATCTTAACTGCATAATCCTGTGGAATATAGTTAAGTAATAATATTAAATAAGAGCAATTCAAGTTTTATGTGAGATTATTTTTAATATTTATACCTATGTGACTGAAAAACAATAGTTTATAATTCTGATGATTGAAAACATATGCTTGAAAGAATCATTTCACCTGTACTTAATTTTTAATTATAAACGTTTTCTGTCAATTTTTATGAGTTCCATTTGTATAACTTTTGCCTCAAAACCTTTAATTGGAAAATTTGTTTCAAAATAATAAGTGCAACAAGGTTATTTAGGGTTAGAACAAAAGCAATAAATTTTCAACAATACTGAGAGAAAGCTGTGAAATACAGAGAAATGTACAGAAAAATGTGTGGCCGACACATGTTGTGGAAATGTTGACTACAAATTTCTTCTTCCCGACAGTAGTTTTAACCACTTCTTTGTATCATGATTTAGGCTTATAACCTTGTTTCCTCTTATTTCAAAGCCAATATATAACACATTAAGATACAGTTATAAAAGTGAAGCTTACTTATACAAATTCAGTGTTTTATCTTACTAACCTGTTGATTAAGAAGGGACAAGTAATACTGCAGTTCACTGTGATTGGTCATCAGTATTCCCTCCCCTTTAGTGTCATACTGGGGTCTACCTGCTCGACCTAACATCTACCAGAAAAGATTCAGGTTATATAATGCAAAACATTTTAAACTCGTAAACCTCTTAATCAATGAATACAAAAAATATTTTAAAAAGCAATGAATAATCACACCAAAAAAAAAAAAGGGATGACCTGATCCCAGTTTGTGTCACTTTTACAAATAATGCCAAGGTTTTCTATTGAAACACAATATCCATAATAAATTATGAAGCATTTACTTGCACTTTGTAATACCCTTAAAACAAACATTTTCATTTACTGCTATTGTGACAAGGGTCACTAACCACTAAGTTGCTTTCTTTCAGACGTAATTAATTGTTTGTCACTTATCAACCCCTCTTTGATGTCTGGTTCACACTTATCCAAGGATAGTTGATTAACTTTATTCAAACATAAAACCAAAGGAGTTAAAAAAAGCTACATCGAAAATCCACTGGGCAGTAAAACCTAGTTGCAACATAATGATGGCTTATAAGACATACATATACACAATGACAACCAGAGAGTAGTAAGACATAGCTACATCACAATGACAGCCAGAGAGTAGTAAAACATAGCTACACTGTATAGCAATTGGCAAGTAAAATATAGCTACATAGCTGTATAAAATATTTTTCTCCCATTCTTCTCACATGGCCGAACCATGCCAACATCCTCTTCTTGATTTCTAAGTGTGTCAAGTCCTGCACACTTTAGCATCTCTGTGTTTGGTATTTTCAGGATCTTACTCGTACATTTCCTGCAGAAACTGCTTAGTCTCTTGATATATCTAACACATTTCTGAGCCATAAAGTAGAGATTACAGCAAACAAGTCTTGTATATAATCGCATCTTAACCTTACTTTAATAGTGTGCTGTTATTCCATGCTCGTTTCTGTAAAAGCCCAAAATTATCAGCTACTTTTCAAATTCTTTTACTCAATTCAGTCTGAAGGTCAAGATACCTGTGGATCACGGAACTCAAGTAGCAAAAGTTGTCAACACCACCAAGAGATTTACCCTCCAAAGTTCTGGTACTGGTTCTCCTACCTTTTGGTACATACATGCCCACAGTCTTCTTGATACTTATTGTCAACCGAAAGTCTTATATGATGCAGAAAAGCTATTCACATTATCTGCAAATAGGAAATCTCCCAGAATTAGCTCTTTCACTTTGGTTTTCACTCTAAGCCTTAAGATGTTGAACAAACCTCTATCTATTATATATTATGAGCAATTTTCATGTATTGCTGAAGAGAGGAATACCACTGCTAAAAAATTTTATGTACTTTCCAGGTCACCGAGTTAGGACGTATTGCTAGCCACTACTACTGTACTCATGAAACCATGTCCACCTACAATACTCTACTTAAACCAACTTTAAGTGAGATTGAGCTGTTCAGAGTTTTCTCATTGTCATCAGAGTTCAAGAATTTCAAACAAGGTTTTACAAAATTGCTAAATTCACAAACATTAACTTTGTGAATAATAATATACATAATGAAGTATTAAAAGTAAAACCCATTGACCAAAATCAAACTATTTATACATTTTTATGTAAAAGCCACTTGTCTATAAAGCCCAGATTTATTTATTATCCCACATGTGGTCTTAATACACAGGTTTAAGTGTATATTTCCAACTAATATATATTTATTTGGGAAACATATATACAGATTATTAAAAAGACAAAACAAAATCAAAGCACCTGTACAAACTTTGATAAGTCCTATCAGTTAAGGTGTATTTTATGTTTATGACAACAAACATTACAAGTGCATGCCTCCATAACTTTCAAGCAATGTGTTATAAACACAGGACCTCTCCCTCTCAAGTAGAGGCAAAGTGGTGTTTTGGGGTGACAGGTCACAAAACAAGAAATTCTGGGAACTGTTTTTTGGAGGTGTTGCATAACTGTTGAAATGTCTAGAATCTTCTGCATCTAAATATGCAAACCATATGATGGTAACATATACGAGTCAGGAGTCATGAGCAGCTAAAGAGAAAAAAGGATTTCAGAGTGGCCACACCACTTTACCAGCAATGGTCACACATTGATTATCTCTTTCTTTGATTCTCAAATCAATGCATTCTTTCTTTGTCGCCTGTTTGAGGTTGAATAAATTATTTTGATCTTCTTATTTGAGAGGAGGCTACTACTACTATCACTACAGTTCTTTTCAGCATCAAACCTATTTCTGAATGCTACCACAGCATCTTTGGGCTTCACAGATGGATTTTCGTTAACAAAGGCTGTCAATAAGTCTATTGTGACCTCATACACAGTGACAACACAGGTTGCAAGTTGAACCTTTTAGAAAATTGTACATGCAGGTAATCAAGAGAATAATGGTGACTGATGACAACATGCCAAAGAATAGCTAAGTTTCAGCTATGGTCAGCAGGACTAGAAGACATCTGCTGGAATTTGGTCTGAAGAACATGTGCAACGAAGAAGAAAACTTATGTAGTAGACCCATCAGTTACATAACAAGAAGTACTGTCATCAACTATATATCATCATCAGATGACGAGGCCAGCCATAACTTGGTCAACTTTTGTCTGATTTGGAAACTGAAAATTGTAATCATCATATCTCATTATACAAGTTTCAACAAAATCAAATAACCTCTGATTTTTTACATCTGATCTCAGCCACAAGACACCTTTGGTTGAGAGATCTTGTTCTAGACAAAATCTTTTCCACATATGATATTATAACAATCTAGACTTCTAATACAATATCAGTGTAAAAAAACTTTATCACAAGATTAGATTTGTGTAATGTTGGAGTTTGTAAAGAACTAAGTGTATGTACATGAGTATATATACAGTAACTAAACACTTTTAGCTACCTGAAGGATATCCAAAGCTCCTAGTTCAACCCAACGTCCTTTTTCTGGATTATACACCTGAGTACCCTTTATTATGACGGTGTGTGCTGGAAGATTGACTCCCCAGGCTAGTGTTGCAGTGGAAACTAACACTTGAATGTGTCGATCAGCAAACAGATCTTCTACAAGAGTACGGTCCACTCTGTTGTGTTAAAAAATAATACCGTTATTGTTGCTTTGTTGGCTTCTTTATAATTATCATTAATGAATACATGGCAGTATAATACCACTGTAATAAAAAAATGTTTATGAAAAGGCATCGAGAAAAAGTAACAAATATTATAGCTTCAACATTACAACAACCACCTTTTCCAACTTATTATAGACATAATATGTAAACAATTCCAAGGTCAAATGTACACAGTCAACATAAAAAAAGTTATTGAAGAGAGAAATTAATAAATTTTCCCAACCCATGACAGAAAACCAGCCCATCTATACTAAACTTAAAGCATTTTTCAAAACTATGTACTCCGATTTGACATACATGTTAATTACTAATAAAAAGAGCTGATTTTAAACTTTGGGCTTTCAACAGTACTTTTTGAAATGGTGTCACAATATATTAGATAACCTACACAAGTTCTTAAAGATTTTCAAGAGGAAGAAGTTACAGATATCTTTCCAAATAATCCCAAAAGAAATTTTTAATATTGCAGAACAAAGAAAGATGAGAAGCATAAGAACTTTTTCTAAATACTTACCTGGTCATTCCAGCATGATGAATGGCAAAACCATATGGCAATAGATCTTTCAACTCCAAGTTCTTGAAAATAAAATGAAATAAAATATCTAAATAAAGCCACATTAGCTCATATGCATCACTTTACATGCTTAATAGTACAATTACAAAGATTGATGAACAAATATACATCACAGTTCTTGTTAGGTATTACTGTCAGGTGAAACCTGGCACACCGTGCTTACCTTAACCTGTTCTGCCTCTGTCCGGAGCACCTCTGTAGATGCTGATCCTTCCCGTAAAAAGTGGCCTAAAGTATCCTTCTCTAAACACATGTCCCTTACAGCCCGAGCAGTCTTTCCAGTTTCTTTCCGTGAGTGGACAAAGACCAACACCTACATAAAAAACAAGGAAGATACTATCGAAATTTAGTATCAGCCAACTTTAAAAGCAAATTAAGATAAAAAATTATATGCTTTTCATTTTCAAAAGTTTCATTTAATCAAATAAATTTTTCTGATAAAACTAATGGGTTAAACAATTTTATTAGAATTTTAGGATGCAAGTATCATCTGAACAATGTGCATGAAATATGAAGATAAAACAAACTAAAAAATAAATCTATCACAAAACAAAACCAAAACCCTCATACTAGTAGATTAAAATGAAAGAAACAAATATATATATAAAAATACTTGGATTTCATGTGTATGAGAATGTCACAGCTTTTATTGTAAAAAGATTAACAAACTCTGCAGTTTATTCTTTTCCACATACTTTTATACCACAACTTTTTTTTCAGTAGTGATAAAAATATAATACAAAAAAACAACAAACCACATCTGATTTTTTCCTGCATGTTCCATTATTTTTTTGTACAAGATTTCACAACTTTATTTTTTCAGTAGTGATAACAATATAATACAAAAAAAACTGATTTTTTTCCTACATGTTCCAGTACTTTTTCATGCAAGATTTCATGACTTTCTATTTTTTCTGTAGTGATAAAAACTATAATAAAAATAAACCACACCTGATTTTTTCCTGCATGTTCCATTACTTTTTCGTACAAGATTTCGTTCATAACTTGGAATCGTTTGATAGCTTTCTTTTCTGTGATTCCTATGTATTGTTGTTCCAAGGGAACAGGGCGGAAACTGTTGTCAAAATAATAAAGTCCATTGGTAGGTTCGACCCTGAGAAATGTTGCAACGTCCTTGTAGTTAGGCAACGTAGCACTAAGCCCAACTAGCCTTACTTCTTCTTGAGTCATTTCAATGTTACGAATAGTTCTGTATAAAGATTTAAGAAAGTTATAAAAGTCACTTAAAACCTAAACAATATAATAATTTAAGTTTCAGAAATTTACAGAAAAGATACTGAGATTTGAAGTATTATCATAACATAAAATAAAAATCAACATTTCTTTAAGATACAGTGAGTAATGTAACTTTAGGTTAAACATGTTTTCAAATATGAAACGAAAATGAACAGTTAAAGAGCAATATTGACAGTTTTAGGACTTTAACATGAAACAATTTATTTTCTCCACTATATTAAAACCAACTAAAATTACAGTTATGATGTAACCTCAGCTCTTAAATCTTACATAAAAATGTAAAATTCTCTTAGTAGTTATTAAAAGTAAATATTTAGTTATGTATTAAATGAGTTACAAAAAAAGCTAAAAATGGGATATTAAAGAAATAAATATACTCATTTGAATGCTTTGCCAAAATTAACCCAGTAAATCATCAGTAAATGTGTTTTCAGAAGTTCTTGTGTTATTTTTCTCTCTTTTTTTTTTGTTAATTGAAAGTATAAGGGTAATATTTTTTAGGTTTTATTATAAGGCTTTGACAGAATAAAAATGGTAATAGATCTCGATGTTCCAAGCATAACTATAAACATCCAGTTTAATCTTTTAGGGTAAAACATCCTATTATTTGCAAAAAGTATTTCAGTGACAAATGAAAGAGTTTCCAAACCTATAAAAAACAACTATTTTGACATTATTTAAAAACCAAATTTAAATGAAATTATCTGTTTTACATATATAAAATCTGCTTTAAAAACTTATCATACTTATTCTATAAAAACTGTATCTTAATCCAACTTTTTTTTTTCTAACTAATAAATGATAGTGATTTGACTATGAGAAATGATGCACTCATTAAATTAATGGCAACAAAAAAATATAAATTCCAAATGAAGACAAAAGAAGTACAGTTAATCCTTTTCACATCAGCAAGGTGACACTGTGTCATCTCTGTTAGCTTTATTCTCATGCTTACCATAACTGCATGAAATTGTGGTACTCATTTTCTACATATCTAGCTTGTTTCAAAAACTTATAAGACTTGGTTTAGTATTCATTTATTGTAGGTGGTGAATTTTTTGAAATTTTGTTGTGAAACATTGTTTATAAAAAAACATTAACAAAATATTTCTTTTTTGTCTTGGTTTCTGTTTTTTTTGTGTGTAAATCTATTCAACTTGTTTTTTTTTTTCCATTGGTGGTAGTGTCCAGGGTCACTGATGAGAAGTAGAATTATCTGAAACTAGTCTGGGTC